AATTTTTATTCATATCGGTTTTGCACATTTCCTATTATATTTATTCTGAAATATCTTCTTTAATAGTGTTGTGAGTTTTTCCCTTCCATTATGCCCTCTGTTTAGAGTGTGTATATAAAAGCTATTGATTTACCATTAATTTTTGTATATTCTTACAACAGTGAATTCTTTGTTTGAATTGGTTTTATCTTTGATTTTTTGGAGTTTTCCAGAGATGTTATCAGAGCATTTGTACACAGAAATAGTTTTCATTCTTCTTCGCCCATTTAGATGCCCCTTCTTATCTAACTGCTTTAGTCAACTCTAGTATAATGATGAAGAGTAGCAGAGATAGTGGACATCCTTATCCTGTTCCTGATTTTAGTGGAAATGCCGCTAATGTTTCTCCATTAAATAAGATACTGGCATTAGGACTAAGAATATTTATTTTATTGATACAGTATCAATTGTATTATAACACTGTATTGATACTATATTTATCAATACTGAAGGAGAAAGTATCCCTCAATCCCTATTTCCTGAAGTGCTTTTAATAATAAATGGGTGTTAGATTTTGTCAAAGGGTTTCTCGACATCTATGGAGATAATCACATTTTTTCTTAATTTTTTAATAATATGGTATATGATATTCATGGATCTTCTAATATTGAACAAATCTTCCATTTATGGAATAAATCTCCCTTGGTCATTATTTCCTTAATGTGGTATTAGATTTCAACTACTAATATTTCATTTAGACTTTTTGCATCAATAATCATGTATAATACTGGTCTGTATGTTTATTCGTAGTACTTTTATTTGGTTTAGGTGTCAGGATTATACTTGCTTTATAAAAGAAATTAGGAAGTTTCCTTCTTCAATACTCTGGAATAATTCATAGAGCACTGGAACTATCTGGTCTTTGAAGGTTTGCTCTAATTTTCCTATGAAACTACCTGGACCAGGCGCTTTTTTGTATGGTAGTTCCTGAATAACTTTCTCTATTTTTTCTTTAGAAACCAGTGTCTCTAATGGGGTAAATTCTGGCAATCTGTATTTCCCTAGAAAATTATACATTTAGATTTTTTCAAATTTATTTGCATAAGATTCTAAAAAGTAATTTTATTGGTTTTTAACTTGTTTCAATAATTATTTCCTCTTTATTTGTTTCTTTATATTTGTGCTTTCTCCCTTTTTATTTAATCAAATTAACTGGTTGGTTCATCTATTTTATTTTTGGAAACAGAATTTCGATTCATTAATTTATTGTATTTCAATTCTCATTAATCTCTGCTTTTATCTTTATTATTTAATTCCTTGTGATTTTTTTGGTTTACTTTGTTGTTCTTTTGCTGATTTTCTGAGTTCGGAATTTAATTCATTTATTTTTTTTCTTTAATTTTCATTGATAAAAGTGTCTAGCTAATAGATTTTTCTCTGATATCTATCTTAAATGCATCTCACAGATTCTGATATGTATTGTTTTCATTATTATTTCTGAAAAATACTATAATATCCAGTTTGTATTCCCTTTCACCCAGAACTTCTTTAATAGGTTTTAAAATTTCCAGATAATCTTTTTGTTGTTGTTGTTACAAATTCTAGTTTTACAGCATTTGATTAGCATGTTTATAAATAATTCTACTTTATAGAAGTTATTGATATTTTCTTTGTGACTTAATAGAACCAATATTTCTGAATGTGTAGTGAGCACATGAAAAGAATGTGTATTTCTATTATTGGAGTGTAGAGTTCAATTTATATCCATAAGATCTACCCATTCACTATGTTACTTACATCATTTATATCTTTAGTTATATTCTGTATATTAGCCCTTGTGTCATTAGAGAAGTGCAAATTAAAACCACCATGAGATATCGATGTAACAGATTAAAACAGCTAAAATAAAAATACGATGATATCAAATGCTGGCAAGGATGTAGAGAAACTGGAAGATATATTGCTGGTAGGAATTTAAAATGGTACAGCCACTCTAGAAAATAGTTTGGCAGTTTCTTATAAAACTAAGCATGTACTTACTCCAACGGTCTGACTATATGACACAGCAAATGCACTCTTAGACATTTATGCCAGAGAATTGAAAATGTATATTCACACAAAAACCTGTATACAAATTTCATAGCTGCATTATTCATAATAGCCCATATTAAGAAACAACCCAAATGTTCATCAGCAGCTGTACAATTAAACAAACCCTGGTACATCCATACAATGAAATACTGCTCAGCAATGAAAAGAAATAACTATTGATATATGCAGTAACTTGGATGGATCTCAGGGCACTATGTTCAGTGAAAGAAAGCCAATCTCAAAAGATTACATTTATATAACATGTTCCATTTACATAACACTCTCAAAATGGCAGAGTTGAGATGGAGACCAAATTAATGGTTGCAAGAGGACAGATAGGGATTGGACCAGGGGAGGTATTAAAGAGGTAGCATGAAGTCTACAGCCATGCCACCCTGAATATGTCCAATCTTGTCTGATCTCAGAAGCTAAGCAAGGTCAGGCCTGGTTAGTACTTGGATGGGAGACCACCTAGGAAGACCCGGTGCTGCAGGAGTGTTAAAAAAAAAAAAGAGGTAGCATGAGGGAGTTCCTTTGTGGTGATGAAACAGTTAAGTATTTTTATCGTGGTGGTGGTAACACAAATTTATACATGGGATCAAACTGCACAGAACTACACACACACACACACACACAAGTGCATGTGAAAACTGAATAAGGTCTGTAGTCTAATTAATAGTATTATGGCAATGTCACTTTCCTGGTATTGACATTGTAACTAAAGTTATATAAGATGTCACCTTATGGAGGAAGCTAGGGGAAGGGCTCATGAAACTTTATGTACTATTTTTGCAATCCCCTGAATCTATAATTTCAAAATTAAAAGTTTTTTAAATGATAAAATCAATGAATATTATCTTTATGCTATTATGACTCTGACACCTATTTCAATGTATTATTTTTTTTCTACACCACCAAGCAGTTAACTCAATTCTGACACTATCTAGCTGGAGATAGCATCAGATCCTACAAGTTAAGGGTTCAGATCTACAAGACGGTCTCTCCCCACTCCCCCACTTCAGACACCAATCATAAGTTCAGGCTGTCACCTGTGCTTCTGATTGATGTACTATAGATCAGAGGTTCTCATAATCCTCTCCTCAGATTCGATTAATTTGCTAGAGAGGCTCACGGAACTCAGAGAAACATTTACTTACACTTACCAGTTTATTATAAAGGGTAACATCCTTTATAATATCCTTATATTAGATAGAAAAGGAACATAGGGCAAGGCATGTAAGAAGGGGCACAGTGCTTGCATGCCCTCTCTGGGCATTCCACTCTCCCGCATCGCCACATGTTCAGCAACCTGGAAGCTCTCTAAACTCTATCTTTTTGGGTTTTTAATGGAGATCTCATTATATAGGCATGATTGATTAAATCACTGGCCATTGGCGATTGAGTCAATCTCCAACTCTTCTCCCCTCCCAGGGGGAATGAAATTTCCAACCCTCCAATCACATTGTTGGTTCCCCTGGCAAGCAGCCCATATTCTTAAGTGCTTTCCAAAAGTCACTCATTAATTCAGGTATGGTTGGAAGGGGTTCATTACAAATATCAGGACACGATGACTGCTCTTATTAGTTAAAAAATTCCAAGGGTTTTAGAAGGTCTGTACCAGAAATGGGGACAAAGACCAAATATATATTTCATATTATAAATCCCAATAACACAACTAATAATTCTAAAATTTATGTCTTAATTTTAAACCTTTTATCTGAGTTCTAGACTTCATTTCCAATCTCTACATGACATCTTCACTTGGATGCCTCAGAGATATCTAAAACTTAACACGCCTAAAACAGAACCCTTAATTTCCCCCATGAACCTGTTCCCTCTTAGCCTTTTCTAATAAAGGCTACTATCTAATTACTGAAACCAGAAACCTAGTAGTAGTAGATTCCTCCTCTTCCATCATCCCCAAATCTACACCATCAGAAAATTCTGTTAACTCTATTTACAGCTACATCTCAAATCCATCCATTTCTCATTATCTCCACTGGCCTCCCATTATCTCTCAATTTGTGACAACATGGATAGAGCTTGAAAATATCATAGTAAGCAAGGTAAGTCAGATGGAAGAAGAATCATGATTTCACTAATATATGGGATATAAAACTGAAAGCAACAAATGAACAAACAAGACAAACAAACAAAAACTCATAGCCACAGCTAACAGTGTGGTGGTTACCAGAGGGAAAGCGGGGAAGGGTAATAAATAAAGGGGGTTAAATCTATGGAGACAGAAGCAGATTTGAATTTGGGTGGTGAAGACAAAATGCAATATACAGATGATGTATTATAAAATGGTAGTTGAAATCTACATAATTATATAAACCAATGTCACCCCCCAATAAATTTAATAAAATTAAAAAAATAATAATCAAAAATGGATGTTAGAGAAGGAAGATGGTTTTTCCTCGCAGTGGTAGATAGAAGAACAAGGATTCAAACACAACTGTCTGACCATAAAACTCATGCTCTTTTTATTGCCTCAAGGATTCTTAATCAGAGACTCAGAAATTCCATAGAGGAAGGTCCATAGGTCCATTTGGAAGGTCCATAGAACCACTTGGTATTATATGAAAAGTTTTGTGTCTATCTACTTAAATCCATTTTTCTGGAGAAATGGCCCATAGCTTCTCAAAGAGGTCTATCACTCCCTAAATGGTTGAGAACAACCACTATACTAAGAAAAATAAGAAAATGAAACACAAACTCTAATATTTCTTAAAATACATATGATTTACAATGTACAAGTTCATTTTTATAAATTCTATTTTCAGTCTTACTAAACAAAATAAAGCAATACTCTCCAACGAACTTGTTTAGAAAACATTTTGTAAAATTACCATTTTAACTCTACTTGTTTCTAATACATATATATACTTTAAATACTAAGAAATTATTATATTTAAAATGTATCTTACATTCTTCATGCTGGACAGATGAATAAATCCCAAGATTTAATAACTGACTGGTAAATGTTGATTGTAGTATTGTCTCACCAATCCAATGATCTTCACGAACAGTAACATCTGGAAAGGGGGAAAAAGTTCTGATCATAACATAAATTCCTTCACACTATGGTTAACTTACCATTCACAGCAAAATATTATGCATGCCTCCCACATATCAGGCAACTAAAATTTAAATATGTTAAATGATCTGTTTAACAGAACAAAATGATGAAACAGCAAATCCAAAATCTGAACCTAGATTTGTATTATTGTATATAGGTAAGATAACAAAATTGCTTCTGTATATTCAAATAATATCAATATGGAAGCTCACTGCTCCACAGAGAATGTTTAATGGCTTTTGTTTACGTAAGACAAATGTTACAATGTATACTTCTGATAAAAGTAAATCATTCAGAACCAAGAAGCAAAAATAGTGGTTCCAAAGTAGTAGTGCCTAGAATTAATAATACTCAGTCTGCATTTACCCCTTCTGCTATAACATATATGAATATAGGCCATTCTTAAAGGACTTTAATTATTTTTCCCTAAAAAGCATGGCAATCACCGTTTCTGGATATTAAAAGTGAAAGACTTTGGAGGTAAGGAACACCTACTAATGGGAAAAAAAACACTGTACAATCTTAAAGATCACTTAGTGGAACTAAACACACCAATAGACAGAAAGAATCCTAAGTAGAGCAAAAACTGTAAGTTAGAGACAGACAGATTGATCCCAGGCAGGATGTTATCAGTGTATAAAATGTTAGAAGTGTAAAGATATACTAACAGTAGCAAAATAATTTGGAGATAATAAGAAAAACAAGGATGCATATATTCCACATAATCACTTGCAAAGTCAAATTGTAGACCCCCTCCTCAGCTTCAAACTCATCTACTCATTTATCCACAACTGCCTAATTCCTGACTAGATATTCTACTGGCTCCCTAAACTCAGCATTACTCAAACTTGCTTTTCTTCTCTTTGGCAGTATGCTGCTAGCCAGGTAAATTAAAATGTGAAGTCATCCTGAACTTCTATTTCACCCTTTCCACCTTTGCCACCAAAACCCCTGTTGATTCTGCCTCTTGAGTCTTCCCACAGCCCTGCCACTGCCACTGTTTACATCATACACACCCCTTTCTCTTGGCAGGTTCCCACGCCCCCACACCTCTAATCCATGTCCCACAGTGCTAATGAGTGGTTTATCAAGAACATTAATGTAATCCCTTAACTTGCTTAAAAAATACTCATGGCTCCCCACTGCCTGGCCAGGACTAGCTAGCACTGCATTCAAGACTTTCAGAATGCCAGTTCCTCTGAAAGGAACAGACGAAAAATTCTAAGGAGAGCCTTCTGAAAACTAGATTGTAAAACTTATGTCAATTAGTGAGGTATTAATTATTGGTGAGAGTGGGGGGGATAGCCCAGCCCTTTCCTCCTGGTTCTTTGTCCACCCGCTGATAATGCCCTAACTCCTCTTCTGTTGTTCTTTAAACATTGTAGTTTCTCACACTTAAGTTCCAAGTCCTCTTCTCTCTTAACTCTAGTCCCTTAAACAATCCTTACTTACAGTATCTCTTCATTCTAATGCTAAAAGTATAATAGCAAAACGTCAATTGTGTTACTGAATGAAATGTGATCTGGAATATATTTGTTATATAGAATTTTTCAGTTTTGAGGTATATGCTCAGTAGGTAGTAAGGGATACTCAACATAGAGATAGAATAATGCACAATTGGATGCAATTAAAAGGCAATTTCACCCATAAATTTATATGTAAATATAATTTCACTGCTTAATTGGAACAATGGAAAAGAACAGACTTCTCTTTTTTTCCACAAAGTTTCCACCTTTCCACACAAACAAAAGAAACTTATTCAGAAATTTGTGAACTAGATACCTTTTTTCCTAAGGAAATAAGGCAAAACAGAAAAAAAAATGTTTTTAAAAAGGTGTTATAGAAATAATGTTAATATCCTATAAAAGGAAAATGATTAAGTGAACTGTGATAAAGTCACCTGATAGAATGTTATCTAGCTGTTGACAACTCTGTGGACCTTGGGAAAAATACAGAGATAGCAGGCTTGAGTTTCTACCTGCTAGGAAAAGACCTCCAGTGAGGCTCACCCACTGACAGTAATTGTCTTGGTGAAATAAACATGGTCCAGGGTACAGCCCTCTCTTTTTATTCTGGGGAACCTGATTTTTGTCAGCTCTCCGAAAATAGATTTCAGCTCTGCAACATAAGCTCACATTAAACAAGGTAATGAGACAAATAACAAAAACATAACACAATTTTTTAAAAAATTTACGCGGCATTAATAACCAAAGAAACGGACACTTGCAGCTTATTCTCACCTTGCAGGCAGTTTTACACCTGGGAAGCCAAATCATGAGCAAAGTGCTGCTCAGTGAGCACTGAACCAGAACAAAAGGAATTAGATGAATTGACTTGCCAGCAAATAAGATATTGCCAATGGGATGATATTATGCTAAACCTGTTAGTTATAATCCTTTGCTTACCTCAGTATCAGAGACTGCACCTGACAATGTTATACAAATACCGAGGTATATTATTAGCCAAAGTTCTCGTTCCCCCAGCAAATCATTTGGTAAGAATACCGATGATTGCAAGATTTTTCTTTTTTTAAGCTTTTAAGGCTGATCTATACTTCTTCTCTTATCACATTCTTTCTTTAGGTATGTTATTAAGCTTAATTTCCTCCTGGTCTGGAATTCATCCTCGAAATGACTGGTATCTCTGCTCTAAAACGTGTATTGATTTTAAATCAATAAAGAAATGTAACAAAACATTAAATTTCTTATGTCAGGCGAAAAAGGATAAAAACTGTACATTCTTTATGATTACGACTATGTAGAAAGAGTGGTTTCTGGACTCTATGTGAAATCTTGGGTATGCCACTTCCTAGATGTGTGAAATTGGGCAAGTTACTTTACTTTTCTGGGTCTCAGTTTCCTCAAACTGAAAAATAGGGATAATAATCAGTGCCGTCTTCATATAGTTGTTGTAAAGGGTTGATATTACATTTATGTTCTAAAACAGAGTCTGACACAAAGGAAATTCCCAATAAATATCAGCTTTTTTATATGTATGTAAACACATTTTAAGAAGCATAGGGAAGATAACTGGAGATAACACTCCAAAACTCTACTGGTGGTAATGAGATTGTTATATTAGGAGTTTTCCTTTCCATATTTCAAAATGTAATTAACATAATTTCAATAATTTTAAAGTGCAATAGAAATTCTATATCTGTTCCCTAAATAAGAATATAATGTGCACAGCATGAGTGGGGATTAAGTAAAATAGTAGAAATGCTGTCCTTTCATCATCAAACTGCTAATATAGTTAAAGGGTTAAAAATAAGACACAGACAAAACCATAGGAAAACAAAGAAAGAGCCTGATGACATGACCTGAAAGCTAATATAGTGAATAAATAGGAGAGGCAACCAGGAAAGTTTCTTAGAGAGAAGATGAGTGAAAAGGAGGGACAGAACTCAGAAGGCTAGAACAAAGCCCCAGAAATGCCAATGCACAGGTTACTGGGCAATGGTAAGGAGGCTAATGTGGATGCTATATAAAGGGATTAATTATGCTAGAGCCTAGAGAGACAAATGAGAAAGTAAGTCCTCAAGTGGGAGGGGGACTTATAAAGCTTTATAAAATAAACTATCACTATACCATGAAGACCTTACCTGTGAGTAAAATTATATCACCAAGAAACACTGTTAGTGCCCAAAATGCAGCAGTCCTCCACAGAAACACCTTCTTTTTAATTTCTGATTGGTCAATTACCACAATTGTTGCTAAAGGCACTTTAGAGCCAGAATTTGGTCCAGATTTTATATTTATTTCTTTCACATGACATGGAGCTAACACCATGACTAAACAATTATACTTCTGACTTTTAGAATCACAATTTTTTATTAATGATATTTTCTTAATACCCTTAAATTCAGACACATTCCTCTGGTCCCTTGCTACAGTAGGATCTCTTGCATTAGAAAGCAACTTCATTTTCTTAGATACTTGGAGAACTTTAGAGAGAGCTTTAGGATGGCCCAATTTATCTTCAGAGGTCCAATTTCTTTTAATAGAATGTTTGTGGAAGGTACTGAGTTGGGAACACAGTATTCCTGAGCTACATGACTCAATACATATCTCGTTTGGTGGCAGTCTCTCTTCAAAACCGAAGAGTTCTTGAGATCTTTTATTTTCTTCAAGACCTTTATCAGAGTTTATGTGAATGTGGCTACTTTTTGTTTCCGGACAAACGGGACTAAAAAGTTCAAGGGAAAATGCTTGGTTTTGTCCACTTTCACATCCTTCTTCATAATCATTAGGGTGAATCAAATTATCTTCAGTTATTTCTATTTCCCCATGACTTGCTTTTGGTTCAATCTTCATGTTTAGAGTCCCTTTATTTATAGAATTCTCCTCTTTATACTTCCTTTGAGCTAAAAAAGCAACCTGGCTAGAGGTCATGATACTGAGAAATTCAGTATCAGTAGATACGTTAAGGTCTGAGACCTTCTTAACTGCTCTTTCAGACCTTGGCTTATCCACTGTGTCAGAGGAAAGGAACTCCAGACACTGGTTTTGCATTTCATGATGTTCTATTGGTACACACTTTGTTTTGATAGCTCCTGGTCCTATATTAATCTGTTCAGTACTACAAACCAAATCCAATATATCTGCACGCTTATGGTCTAACTGAAAGGAATTTTTTTGGATATTTGGACCACATATATTTGATTGATCTTTATGCTGTTCATCTGTGATTTTATTTTTACTGAAAAGCTTTTGATACTTTTCTTCTTCAGTTAAATGCTGAATTCTGCCCTTAAATTCACATATTTGTACATCAGAGTTTGTTACATCACTCATCCCTAAGGGGTGACTCTTCTGGAATTTTATAGTCTGTGTTTCAGAAATACAATGAACAGATCTATTCACAGAGTTTGCTAAAAAACGACAATTAAGAAAATCTGGAGGGCCAGTAGCTTCTAGGACTTGACAGTCTTCAAGATTCTTGCATTTTTCATCCTTCAGATATAAAGAATGTTGATTGTATAAAAACTGAATTTTTTTCCAGGGGTCAGCAGTGAACATTAAAGAAATTGGTTCCTGTGATACTCTCATTTTCAATGGACCAATTGGAGCACCCCAAAAAATGTGGACTTCAGATCCTCTACTCATGGTTTCTGAAAAAAATGAAAATCTAAAATGAGTATTTTGTCAGTAATTTTTATATACTGATATTAACATACTGAAAGCAAATGTAATATAAACTATTAATCAAAAACACAATTAATAGAGGTGATTTATATTGGTACTCCATTTAATTATAAAATTCATAAATATACAAGAAATCATAAGGACAAATCAAAACATCCACAAAATGTCCTCATGTAAAGACTCTAATAAATTAAATTAAATGCTATTAAAAAAAACTTTAAGGAAAATGAAGCTAAGTATACTAACATCAAATGAATAAATAAATTCTCAGTATGTTCATTTCTTATGTTGTATAAATTTAACCATTTAAATAATAAGTTAGTAAAGAAAGGGAAGAAAGGCATTTGTTTAATTATATAATAGTCACCTTCAAATTTCCTGTTTTCCTTACTACATAGATTATTTCGGGGTCTACTTCCTTGAACTGTGAACTCAATTCCCAAGACCAAACAGAAGGCTCAACCAGAAGAGAAAGAAAATAAAAAACTAAGGCTCTCTTTAAAATGTACAAGTGACTATATTATCTATCTTCAGTCCAATGTGTTTGCATAATCATTAATTGTTTCTATATTTTTTAATCTTCTCTAAAATACAAAGAGATTAAGAATAGTCATTTTATAATATACAGGTAACAGAAACTCATTATAACTTAAACTATTTTCCATTAACTGTGGTCCATGATATAAGCATCATATTTACTGAGATAAAAATAATCATACCACTATTTACTTGATAATAACTGACTTTCAAAAAGTATGTTTTAAATAGATCTATTCCTAGCGTTTCCTGAAAACTTTTTTAACTGTGCTACAGGACAGAAAGATAATAAGGTTCTTGGCCTAAGAAAACTGTCAGCCTGGTTTTAAAAAACAAAAAAGAGAGAAAAATAGAGAATGTAAACTAATCGTTTCAAAATAATGTAATAGATAACTATAAGCTATAAACAGGAAACTATAATCTACTGGAGAAGAATGCTACAATGGAAGAAAAGCATTTTGCTAAGAGCATTTAAAGAAACAAACAAACAAAAATAGCATTGTAAAAGCAGAGTTATGAAAGACTATGGTATGATCAAGCACTTTTGATTAGACTGGAGAATTCTTTGTAAAAAAATAAGGTTAGAAGGTTTCAAATCATGAAAAGTCCACAAGGAAGTATAGGAAGTACAGAAGTATACAGGAAAGGAAGAATAAGCTAAGAAATGATAGCTATAGTTCCCAGTCATTCCTCATTCCTTAAAGATTTGCTCATTATACCTCTTCTGAGTCTAATTATTGTGAATTCAGTATCAATGTGGATGTCCTTCCAATACCCTGGCCTCTTGGCTCCTTGACCTTCTCTTCTCCATTGATTCTATTCTCCACCTTAACTTCAGTTATCCATTCTCATATACCTTAGCATTATCAATATTTGTACACTTTTCCCTGATTCCAATTTTAAGCTTTCAAAACTCGGACTACTTTCTCCTATCTTCCAACTTACTCCCTCTAAACGCACAACTCCAACAACCCTCAGACCACATAGGACCTACAATGAACAAGCTGACGGCACCACATTTTTACAGCCTCATTCTTCACCTTCCTCCTTAACTGGCTTAGATTTCACAAACCATTATTGTAATTACTCCCTATCATACATCTCTAATTCTGCTCTCCTCTCCAAGGTATTTGCCCAACTAAACTCAAACACTGGTTAAATCATCAATTACTCTGCACCTGTAGCCCAATGGCTTGAAGTAACTAGAAAAAAAATTCACAATTATCTCAAAACTAGTCTCGTTACCACTAACCTCAGATGCTACCTGGCAATCTTATCTATTTCTATTCATTCACTCTTAAAGGTAACTCTTTTACACCTTTGCACTTTTAAAATCTCCAGCATCTCCTCCCCTATCCTCAAGTTTAGCTGGTGACCATGACACCATTTCCATTACAAGCTCTCAACAACATATCGACACAGCTCTATTGTACCCATATACTTTGCCACTATGGATGAATTGCCCATGCTTCTATTCAAAGCCATCTCTTCCTCACTTAGACATTAGATCTTATTCTTGTTTTCCTACTCAGGCTCCAAAACTTCTCCCTTTCTCTCCTACATCACTGATTTTTCTCTCATTACTGGAGCATCTCCATCAACATCAAAACATGCTTTTACACAAAGAGGTAAGACCAGCTGTAAGCCGAGGGGAAAGGCCTCAGAGGAAACACACACACACACACATGCACACACACGCGCACACACACGCACACACCCACCATGCTTTTACACAAAGAGGTAAGACCAGCTGTAAGCCGAGGGGAAAGGCCTCAGAGGAAACACACACACACACACATGCACACACACGCGCGCACACACGCACACACCCACACACACTCACGCACACAATGCTATTATTTTTTCTCATGTTGTTATTCCTCACCTCTTATACCCCTCCATTTATTGCACCATTTTTCTGCTCCCCTCTACAGTGAAATTCCTTGAAAGAAAAATTCTCTATACTCCCTCTGCCCCCATTCTCTCTTAAATCCACTCCAGTCAAGCTTTGTTCCAAACCACTCCACTGAAACAGCATATTTCAAAGCTTCCAATAACCTCCACATTGCCATCAGTCAACTCTCCATTTTCAGCTTACTCGGCCTAGGAGCAGCATTAGACACCACTGATCACTCCTTTGGTGAAACATTTTTTTGATTGGCTTTAGGGTTACTACATCCTCTGGATTCTCATTCTACCTCGCATTACCTCACCAGATGCCTCAGTCTTCTTTGCTAGCTCCTCCTCATCTCAACTTCTTGCTCAAAGGCCCAGCACTTGGATCTCCCTCTGTACTCACTATCTAGGAGATTTCATTCTGTCTCAGAGTTCTAAATATCTTCTACACACTAATGACTACTACATGTATGTCTCCATGATAACCTCTCCTCCGAACTCTTAAATCCTTATCCAACTTTCTACTTACTCCTCATTGCCACGAAAGTCTAATAGGCATCTGTGCAGAGTTAACAGGGCAAGCCTAAAACTACTGTCCTTAAAAAGGCCTGCTTATAAGGTGGGTCCATGGCTGGCATCTGTGAATTTATATTTCAGGAGAGTTCACACCATTCCTTGATAAGAATAGCTCACTGTGCCTAAACTGTCTATGTAAACAATGTTATAATGAACACTTGCTTTCCTTCTGAGAGACTGCAATTTTGATATGTACTAGGCAGAGAGTGGCTATGTGATCAGGACTCGTTAGAAAAATGGCTGATTATAGGTCTGAGGTAGGAATGTACAAGATGAACTTGAAATATCTCATCATACCAGAAAGCAATAAAACTATAAAAGACTACTAGGATTGTGTTAAAAGAATTCAGGAACCAACTTAAAGAGTTCCACTGGTCAAAGTTAGGCAATCTGAGCATCAATAAGAATGATTATTGTATGGACTATAACACATCAAATGTGTTCAAATCCACGAGTTCAAAAGGATAACTAAAACAAACTCACACAATGATCACCTTTAGAGGCTACTGGGTGACTAAATAATTGTTTTAAAAGTTGGTGAATGAAATAAAAGAAAATTTTTACTAATAGTATCTCAAGATGACCAACTATTTGATGAGAGGAAATCTCTCTTTATAGAAGTGTTTGCCTAATAAACAAACAAAAAAACATCTAAAGGTAGATGTTGTAAGGGAGAGCAGAGGGAATCTATAGATTAAGACCAATTACAACATATAAACCTTATTTAGATCCCAATTTGAAGACACAAATTTAAGAATATAATAAGACAGTTGGAGAAACTGAAACCATGGCTGATATAACTTTAAGAGATTATTTTTTAGTGAGATAATGTTATTAAGTCTATATATGAAAGAATTATATGTTAGAGATGCATAATGAGTATTTGCAGATAAAATGGTGTGACATCTCAGATTTCTTTAGAACACTGGGAGGGTAGAGGGAGTGAGGGTATAGAAGAAACAAGATGGGCTATGCGTTGATAACTATTGAGGAAGGGAGATGCAACACAGAGGTTCACTGCACTAATTGCTCTACTTTTGTACATGTTTTAAATTCTTTTTTGTTGTTGTTTAAAAAAAAAATACTGTTTCCTACTCACAGAACCAGGAAAAGATTTCTTGGTTCTGTTTAACAATACCCTAGACTGAAGAACTCTTACACTGCTGATAGAACAATAAATAGGTATGCCACTTTGAAAACCAATTTGGTGAAGCTGAGGATGCACATACTATAAACCAAATAATTCCACTTCCAAATTTCTGCCCTGAAGAACTCTTGTACATATATAAACACGAAAACATGTACAAGAATGATCATGAGAGACTTTATAAGCAAATAATTTAGAACCTAAATGTCCATGAAGAAGAAAATAGATAAATCATGGAATATTCAGAGAAAGACAACTATATGACAGCAAAAATAAATGACTATGAGTTACATGTTAACATGGATACATCTACAAGCATACCTTTAAATGAAAGAAGCAATTTGAAGAACATATAATTTATAGTATCAATATACTGAGTTTTAAAATGTGCCTGAGAATAAAACACCAAATTCAGGATCATGGTTACCTTTGAGAGGGGCGTATGGTGATGTGACAGACAACAGGTACACAAAGAGCTTTTCAATGTACTGAATATATTTTATTTTTTTTAACTAGGTATGTTTAAAACAGAGGTGTTCCTTATATTGCTCAACATATTTTATAATATTTAAAAAATTCTATAAAAAAACATGGAGAAGCAACATTAAGAATAATTTTTTTTAGTTCCTATATTTTAAAAGTTTGTGAAGAATAATGAATGTGCATTATTTTCAAAATAATCCAATCTTTTTTGTTTGGTAATTCAGGTTTTCTTTCACAATCTTCAAACAAAATATGATGTTTCAATAGTTGTATAACAATGGACCTAAATCTAACACTGGAGAATAAGAGTTAAGAACAATGATGGCAGCTGTTCATGTATTAGCAACTAAAACAGATATACTGGAATGTTCAAACAGTTAATAATACTGAATTATTACCAAGGAAACAAAATTATAATAATAGTTTAAGTGTCAAGTTTTAACCCATAACAAATAAGAGGACTAAACATCACTAACTGTCATAACCATATATCCCACTCTCATCTAATCCTCATAGAAAGAATAACCAGCATAAGGAATAACTGGTATATTAAATCTAATTAACGTTTTACTATTTATATCATTATTAAATTGGCCACCAGAGGGCCCCAAACAGCACAGTGAGAACCTTCTACTTCAAAAGATAGATATCCAAACCAAGTGAAAGAGCAAGAAATGTATTATCCTAACATGTAGGTGGGAATACTTATATTCAAATCAAATGCATAAACTTACTATGATAGCAAACCACCCTGTCTCGAATCTTTGGGTTTCTCTTCAATGGTTTCTTCCCTTTAGCCTCAAATCTTTAAAAACAAAACAAAACAAAACTTCCATGTTGTTTTTTATTTTCACTTCCCATTCGTTCTTCAATCCACTTAAATACAGCTATTACTCTAATCGTTTTTGCTATAATGCTTTTTACTATGGAAACCAATGACCTATAAACCGCCAAATCCAAAGATTAGTTTTTAATCTTTGTCTGACTGCCACTTGAAACTGTTTATCAAACCCTCTTTCTTGAAACATTCTTTTTTTGACTCTGTGAGACCATGAATTTAGAATTCTTCCATGCTTAAAAGACAGCTAATTATTGGTTTATTCATTCAATCATTCATGTAACAAATACTGAGAATTCAACAATAACAAGGAGCTTTAATAGTCTAAGGGGAGAGAGAAAAGATAATTATAAATAGTTATATTGAGCTACCACAGAACTAAATGCAGGGGTGTCCCTAGAAGGGAGAAGACTGGGCCAACTCAATCCAAGAAGGACTGCCCATTATTTGCAATTTTCATAGGCTCTTTGGACTATGGTTAGTGACAAAATTTTGAAACCAAATTTAAATACTATTCAGAAAAAAAAAAAAAAGTATAATATAGCCCCTGAGTCATCCCTGTCCACCACCCCAACACAGGATCTAGGAAAGCAGCCTAAGTTCCCCTATCAATGGGACAGGCCTGCTATAGGTTATCACCAAAATGTTTAATGAGAGTGTCCTCACTAACATTTTCTCCTAAATGTCCTGCAATCTGACTTCTCTTTCCCATTTCTATTAAGACAACAGGGAAGTACAAATTTGTTTTCCTAACTAGTTTTTCTACCTCTGATTTTTCTTTCTCCATCTCTTCTTCCTTGGGCCATTTCTTCTTTTTATTCCACACAACTCTGCAGAAGTTCATCCAATCCTATTCATTTAACTACTAAATATCCGATTATGCTTTACTAATCTATATTGAACCAACCACTCTATCAGACATATTTCTAATAATAATATTTCTAATAATAATATTTGACACACTCATAATTGATTTAAAAAGCAGAGTTGTGTTTAGTCTCTTTCTTAAAGAGAAAAACTGACTAAATGACCCTACCTATCTTCGGACTAGATTACAGTCCTTGGATTCAAGTTTGGTATGGTTTATGGTTATGAGGCCATGAGGCCATGAAGCTGCAGGCCCCCAACATTCAGAGCCCTACTTGTCCTCTAGGCAGGGGAAGATGGTGAGACACACAGGGGTGACACAAAGCGGTCATGAGACTTCAGAGAGGATCTCCCAGGATTAAAGATACCTAAAACAAATCAAAGTTCTATAAAATACAGTTATTCGTGTATAATAATTACTTCAGTGTGCCTTTGCTTATTTGTCTAAATATATACCTCTGTAAGTGTGAGACTCTTCTCACAAAAAAAAAAAAAAAGACTAGAAAGTATGGTCCTGTTAATTCAAAAAAGTAATTTTTTAAAAAAGTCTTTATACTTAAGGCTGCTGCTGTCCTCTACAGGGGCTATGAGTGTGTGGGGTGGGGAGGGTGAATGGGATGTGGCGAGGGCAGAGAGAAACAATTATTTATCAGGGCAGAAATACACAGACTGAAGAGTTAAGTTACAGATAACTGCTAAATTTCAATGATTCTAGATATGTTTTGAGTGTACTCAAAGGGTTAAAGCTCATTAAGATACCAGATGAAACTTGCAAGCACACATCCATTACTGTAGTTAATAATTATACAATTTCCCAATCTGCAGAAGGCTACTTCACTCAGAAAGACCAATACAACCGCAATCCTTTATCTTTAGCATGGTCAGAGTCTGGTGAATGGGTCAAAGATTTATAAAACAGGATGAACTGTATCAGCAGGTTTTATCTTTGCAGAACACTGCAACTAAAAATACTCATAACAAAATACATGTAGTTAAAAGAGAGTGCTTCCTCTTTTTTATTACCAACCTGAAAAACTCAGTTATAAAGCCTTTCCATGTCTATTTTACCAAAAACACTAAGCATCATAAAGTTACTCAGCAGCATCAAAGGATAAAATGAAAAGGCAGCATAGGTTTTAGAGTAATACAGATGTGGGTAAAAATCCTACTCTGCAACTTATCAAAAAATGTAAACTTGAAATTACTGAAGCTAGGTGATAGTTACATGGGGTTCATTATACTAATCTTTCTTTTTCTGTATATTCTGAAAACATCCATAATAAAAAATAAAATTTCAATGTATGTCAAGTGAGGATTAAGGTTCTTTATCTGTCAAATGAAAATAATATCAATCCCTATCTGACAGTGTTTGTGAGATGAGCACAAAGTAAGTACTCAAAATGTCAGTCTTAAATCTCAGAACTACACACACATACTTAGTGACACAAATAAAAGCCAACCCACTGTATTTCCTTCAAGTTTTTGTTTTTAATGTGTATTTTTATATAGCTGTAACCATAAAATTGAAATAATTTTGTATTCTGCTTGAATCCATACATGGTCACCTTTTAATGTCAATCTATAGTTTTCCAAATCATTTTTAATGCTAGCTTAATGTTTTCATAATGAATCTAATTTAGTTCATCATTACTCTCTAATTCATTAATTTGTTTCTAACTTGTTGCTATTATAGCCATTGCTGCAATAACTTATTTCGGGCAGTTAACATTACTTTTCAATTATTTTCTTCTGATATACTTCCAGGTATGGAATTATTGGGTCAAAGATATATATATTGTTATAGCTCTTGATATTTATTATGCTGTGTGCAAAAGACCTGGATACTGTATAATGCCACAAACAAAGGCTGAGACTCTCAGTCTTACTGCAACTTTGTTAATATCTTAAAAAATAATTTTACTAGTAAGAACGCTGACACATTTTATGTGACTTGTGAAAGAATATAAGATGCATTATTTGTCCCTCAAGAACAAAAGCAATTGAAATTTAAAGCTATTACACATTCTTGCATTTGAAGTAATAGTTACTAAAACAAACCAGTGGGCAGACAACCGATTGTTTAAATCTCCTTGCATAAGCTTTGATTTCCTTTGCTATAGTCGGGTTTTCAGGAGAGACATCTCTAATCATGTTCTCACCACCACATGAGGTTACTGCAGTGCCGTGAGCCTCTTAGTTGCGCTTACAATACAGTGAGAATTCCTCCCTCCCACCCCATTCTAGAAGTTGTCTTCTCCAAGTCAAGTCCAAGCACTGGACCTGAAAGTGAACCTTAATCTAGCTGCTTTTTTGCCTTAAGAATAGAGTGACCATACATTCTGATTTGCCCAGAACAGTCCTAGTTTAAGCATGCTTATCTTGTGTCTTGTTTAGTCAGTTTCCCTTTTCACTCTTAAAAATGTCTCGGTCTGGAGATAAATTATATAGTCACCCTAGTTAAGAACTATATAAATACATGAATAAATGTTCTATTAGTGACGAGTGTAACTCTTAATACATTTTAACAGTAGAAGTAAAGGGAAATGTTGTACTCAGTTTTCCTGTAAAAATTTTTAAATAATGAAATACTAATTGAAATTAGGTTGAACTATACCTAAAAATCATAATATGCATTTGGGAATCTCACGACAGTGATAAAAATTAAATGAGATGGAAAAGAGGATTAAACCTGTTTGGCAACTAAGAAGAAAAAAAGAGTCTGGCTGTCAGGTTCTGAATAATAAAGCTGTGGATATCAGTATAAAAACTTTGGATCCAGTTTTCCTAGAAAATGTCTCAGGCAGCAAGAAACAACTTGTCCAAAGCTCATCCTTTCTAAGGAAGGTCAAAGAAGAAATCTTAAAACATAACACTTCACTTCTCCTCCCCCACATCACGTACTACCAAAAGGACTGATCTACTAACCATGATCTCATAAGCATAAGGTGAGTCTCAGGAGTCTGCCTTCCAACCTTTCTGCTTGCTCATCTCCACCCACCCCCTAAAAAAGATGAAAAACAAATAATAAAAAAACAACTTTACAACTTAAGCCCTGACATTCCTTTGTAAAACATCATACTCATCTTAGCAAATGGCAATTCCACTCTTCTAGTTCACTGGGCCAAAAACCTTGGCATCCTCACTGGTTGATTTTTTTTTTTTTTCCAATTTGTCATCAAATCCTTTTAGCCCTACCTTAAAATTCATTCAGAACTTGACCACTTTTCTCCACCTTCAATTGCTACTGCCCTGATTCAAATCACCATCATTTGATTTACAACAGTCTCCTGATTGGTTTCCCATCTTCCCCTACTGCCCCCTCAAAAAAACTGAGGTTTATAGAAGTGGCCCCCGGTCAAGTAGCCTGCAGGTAGTGGAGCAGGACTGGAATGCAGGAAATCAAACTGCAGAGCCTAAGTTCTTAACCACTATACCATACTGACTCTCTGGTTTTACGTCTTTGCACAACTGTATAGCTAGAATCCAAGCTAGTACCCAGCCAACAAGTCATATTAAATATAAGCACAAAGCACTGACTTACGTAGAATGGTATGACAAGAACAAAACCAGTATAAAGGAGCACCATTATCAAAGAATTCCACTTGTAAAGTTTACTGTAAACTTAATATTGAGGTGAATAATAAATGCCTTTTAAGAGGACGTATCTCTCTCTTTTAATCTCTTGCTTCTTTTATATCTGACACATTCTCTCTTACTCCCTCCTACCCCTTCCTCCCTCCCTTTCTCTCTTTCTCTCCTTTTTAATGATCTGGCAATGGGATGCTAAACTTCCAAAAAATTAAATATTCAATTTAAAATCCTGTTGCTTAGCAAGTTAAAGAGTAAAAATAACAAACTACAGACACAGAGCTACCTTCCTGACCTAAACCTTACCACTTTCTTCCTTTCACCTCTAATATCCCAAAGTATACCTCAGCACCTCTGTGCATGTATTGTTCCCTCAGCCTTAAAACATTCTTCCCCTAGACTCTTACTAGTTTTGTAAATCTGAAGTATAATTAAACATTAGATAATATGCACAGGTCTTAAGAGTTCTGTTCAACTACTGACAATTTTCTACACCCATGTAACCATCATCC